GTTCTGCCCCCCAGCGAAAGGGCTGTTTAGCCAAAGGGGAGACAGTTGGTCTCCCCCTCCAGCAACCAGGCTCCAACCAGACTACTCCCGTGGTAGTGCTGGCACCAGGACAGAGTACCGCTGGTCTCTGCCCACTCAGCAACCCACCCAGTCCGCTTACCAGTCACCCACATAGCCATGGTGAGGCACCTGGACATGGACAAAGTTCTCCTCTACCCAGGTGTAGTAACCAGTTCTTGTGGGTGGGCGGTATTACTGATTGTGTTTTGTGGGTGGGCTGCTGGACTAACAAGGGCACTGACCGGCATGAGGTCAGATACCCTGCTAGTCTAATTGGTAAAGGGGAGAAGTGTGGCAAAACCAACCTCGCCACTGTACACTGGAGAAGCCTGGTTGCTCGCCTGCTGCCTTTGGACTATGGCCCCATGTTAAAAGACATATTTTTCCCTGCAGAAAAGACTTATTCGTGCTTTTCTGCCGGGTGTTCGGTAGATTCAATCTACCGAACAACCGCACGAATGAATAGACCACCTGGGAGCTGGAGTGTGCCGGCAATTAACCTCCCTGAAGCTGCGGTTAACCGCAGCTTAATTGACGAATGCTGGGTGGCCGCCATTCATATCACGATCACGAGGTCGCGTCCATTTTAAACATGCGAATGCACAGCGGTGTTCGACGCTTAATTCATGGAATTGAAATCGGACACAGTTTTGCGCGAACACCGCTGAAGCCGCCGACCTCCCTTTTTGTTCTGTGGAAATGCACGAATGGCCCGGTGTTCGGTAGTTTTCTTTGAGTGTGTTGTGCCCCAGATAGGAATCCCATGGAGCCCATTCGCATGAAACTGACTGTGTAAAGACTTTGGCTCAATGGCGATTAAACTGTATTCGTGTGGTCTGAGCGCCATTCGCTTAATAATGTGTTCGCTCAGACCTGAGCTATCTGGGGATATGTAGAACGTATATGTTTTATGTACTGAAGGTAACTGTAGGTAATTTTATGTCTTTTACTGGTTGTTTTCTGCCATGTGGTTAATGGAGTTTTGCCTCTGTCTTTGGAGATAATTGAATTACCAATTATCTCCAGGGCAGAGAGGAGGGATTGTGATGCATTGTGGGATGGTTGAAATGTATAAGTCTGTGATTGGTCCTTTTACCCTTTGTGTCCCAGTCTCCCATTTGGTCCCCTAGGGGAGTGTCCACCAGGTGGGAGACCTGCATAAAAGCCGGGCAGTTAGCCCCAGTAAATCAGTTCCTGCTTAACCCTCAAAGTGAAGTGTCGTCTCATTATTGGGGGGAGGATTTACTGTATGTTGTTAGAGACTGATTGCCAGGCGTGCAAGCTGCTTGGGGGCTTTTCCTGTTCGTCTGCTAGCAGCTATTCGTGTGTCTCCAGTTCGGGAGTTTGGAGTGCTACTTGGTATGCAGTTCTGGAGTTTCGAGTATTCCCTTGGTTGCAGTTCGGGAGTTGGTGAATTTGTGGGTTTGCAGTTCGGGAGATTGGTGCTTGCAGTAGCTGTCTGTGCAGCTGAAAAAGGGGACTATCGCCTAAATGGTTTTTAACCTCTTGTGGGCAAAACGGTCCGTTACAATTGGTGGCAAGCGACGGGATCATTTCCACAGCCCAGAAGGACAGCTATAAAACAACACCAGTTCCTGGATTACAAATTGAGGGCAACGCCAGTACCCATACAGCGCCCCTATCTACAAAGGAACTCAGAAAATGGAGGAGAAGTTTCAAAATAGATTGTACTGTTGCATATCCCTGAGGTCTGGAGCAGTGTCAGAGGAGGACATGTTGAGGTACAGAGAGATTGCTAGAGCCGGGTTGTGGGACGAAGCCCTAGAGAAAGTATAGTATTTGCGAGGGGATCGGCGCCGCAGCAGAAGGCAGCGAATCGTGGCTCGAATGGCAGAGCGGATGCCCCTCCTGAGAAAACAGACCGAAGAAGCGTGGGTGACTAGACTCGAGATTCTAGTATATGCAGAACTGGTGCTCGACGATGCATACCAGGCGATACAGTGGTACGCAGCTCAGTGTGTCCCCGAGATGGCAGAGTATGAGTTCCCAGAGGGCGGAGATTACGCTGGCCCTGGCCTATTTTGGGATAATATTGATGATGACTTTGGGAAAGCTACCGATTCTCGTTTTTGGGACCTGTGTTACGACCGAGAAGACATGCTGGGTCTCCCTAGCGCTGTTGATCTCGAGACAGACCTACGGTATCTGGTCGCCAAGGAATGTGACCTGGAGTGGGATTACCTGCGACTCATCAATGAGGCCCAGGAAGAGACAACCGGTCCTCTTCCCCAACAGCAACCAGCGGTACCCGAGGTGGCGGACCTCCTAGAATGGTCCTGCGAGGATCCCCAGCGGCAGTGTGTGTTCCAGGGAGCTGAAGGTGTCGTCCTTCCTCCCCAGCGGCAGTGTGTATCCCAGGGAGCTGAAGGTGTCGTCCTTCCTCCCCAGCGGCAGTGTGTGTTCCAGGGAGCTGAAGGTGTCGTCCTTCCTCCCCAGCGGCAGTGTGTATCCCAGGGAGCTGAAGGTGTCGTCTTTCCTCCCCAGCGGCAGTGTGTGTCCCAGGGAGCTGAAGGTGTCATCCTTCCTCCCCAGCAGCAGTGTGTATTACAGGGAGCTGAAGGTGCCGTCCTTCCTCCCCAGCAGCAGTGTGTATTACAGGGAGCTGAAGGTGTCGTCCTTCCTCCCCAGCGGCAGTGTGTGTCCCAGGGAGCTGAAGGTGTCATCCTTCCTCCCCAGCGGCAGTGTGTGTCCCAGGGAGCTGAAGGTGTCGTCCTTCCTCCCCAGCGGCAATGTGTGTCCCAGGGAGCTGACGGTGCCGTCCTTCCTCCCAGCGGCCATGTGTGTTCTTAGGAGAGGAGACAGTTGGTCCCTCTCCTCAGCAGTCAAGTGAGTCCCAGGGAGCCGAAGGTACCGTCCTCCCTCCCCAGCAGCAGGACAGTATATTGAAAGGGGAGACAGTCGGTCCCCCTCTCCCCCAGCCGGTAGAGTGTCAGGGAGAAGAGCTTGTTGCCCCCACTCCACAGCGGCAGTGTAGCCCACCAAGGGGAGATGAGAAGCCCCACAACCGTGCAGATGGGACCATGGTCTCTGCACTTACAGCACAGGGGGTAGGGATGGTCGGTCCTGCCCCCCAGCAACAGGGCGGTTTAGCCAAAGGGGAGACAGTTGGTCTCCCCCTCCAGCAACCAGGCTCCAACCAGACTACTCCCGTGGTAGTGCTGAAACCAGGACAGAGTACCGCTGGTCTCTGCCCACTCAGCAACCCACCCAGTCCGCTTACCAGTCACCCACATAGCCATGGTGAGGCACCTGGACATGGACAAAGTTCTCCTCTACCCAGGTGTAGTAACCAGTTCTTGTGGGTGGGCGGTATTACTGATTGTGTTTTGTGGGTGGGCTGCTGGACTAACAAGGGCACTGACCGGCATGAGGTCAGATACCCTGCTAGTCTAATTGGTAAAGGGGAGAAGTGTGGCAAAACCAACCTCGCCACTGTACACTGGAGAAGCCTGGTTGCTCGCCTGCTGCCTTTGGACTATGGCCCCATGTTAAAAGACATATTTTTTCCCTGCAGAAAGACTTATTTGTGCTTTTCTGCCGGGTGTTCGGTAGATTCAATCTACCGAACAACCGCACGAATGAATAGACCACCTGGGAGCTGGAGTGTGCCGGCAATTAACCTCCCTGAAGCTGCGGTTAACCGCAGCTTAATTGACGAATGCTGGGTGGCCGCCATTCATATCACGAACACGAGGTCGCATCCATTTTAAACATGCGAATGCACAGCGGTGTTCGACGCTTAATTCATGGAATTGAAATCGGACACAGTTTTGCGCGAACACCGCTGAAGCCGCCGACCTCCCTTTTTGTTCTGTGGAAGTGCACGAATGACCCGGTGTTCGGTAGTTTTCTTTGAGTGTGTTGTGCCCCAGATAGGAATCCCATGGAGCCCATTCGCATGAAACTGACTGTGTAAAGACTTTGGCTCCATGGCGATTAAACTGTATTCGTGTGGTCTGAGCGCCATTCGCTTAATAATGTGCGCTCAGACCTGAGCTATCTGGGGATCATAGGCGTGCGCACGGGGTGTGCCGGGTGTGCCTGGGCACACCCTAATCCCCGTGGCACGCCTATGGTTTGAGTCCTGCAGGAACAGCGTCCCTGCACTTTTTTTGAGCAGGAACGCTGTTCCTACAGGCACTCAGCGCCCCCTGTCTCACCTCTTTCCCCTGGGGAGGGGGCAGGTGATGGATTTTCTCAGTGCCGAGGGCGAAGCTGCGCTTCTGCTTCCTCTCGCCGCGCGCTGATGCCGGGAGCCGGGATATGACGTCATATTCCGGCTCCCAGCTACAGCAGACAGACGGCGAGAGGGAGCAGAGAGCAGACAGCAGAGAGCTCCCTCGCGGCTGAGCTGCAGAGAGGCGCCCGCCCCCACTGGACCCCAGGGAAAAGTCCACCAGCACTCCAGGTAGGAGGCTGGGTGGACATTGTTTTAAATGAAAATATAATAATTTTTTCTTGTGTGTGTGTGAGTGTGTCTGTGAGTGTGTCAGTGAGTGTGTGTGTGTGTGTGTGTCAGTGAGTGTGTGTTTCAGTGAGTGTGTGTGTCTGTGTGTGTGTCAGTGAGTGTGTGTGTCTGTGAGTGTATGTGTGTCTGTGAATGTGTGTGTCTGTGAGTGTATGTGTGTGTGTGTCTGAATGTGTCTGTGAGTGTGTGTGTGTGTATGCATATATATATACACACACACACACACACACGCAGAGCCGGCGCTATCTGAGTGCCGGCTCTGCTCTAAGCCTCCATGGGCCGGCGGGGAGACCAAAGATCTACCTCACCGGCCCACAGCAGCATGGAGGGAGGCAGGAGAGGACCCAGGGAGCTCTAGACAGAAGCTCCGCCAGGTTCCTCTCGCGATATCTGAGTGTTGCTGCGGCAACGCTCAGATCTCGCGAGAGTTAACTCTAGCCCTGCAGGCTAGAGTTCACTCTCCACTGGACCACCAGGGATGGCACATGGCAGCAAGGATTTACTAATCTGCCAAATCCCTCCAAACATACAGCACACACATACAGCACCTACACACATACAGCTCACACACACAGTACACTAACCGCACCCTCATAAACACACACAGCACCTTTAAAAAAAACGCAACACCCTCACACACAGCACACTAACAGCACCCTCACAAACACACACACACACACACAAACAGCACCCTCACAAATACACAACACTCACAAACAGCACCCTCACAGGACAAACATACACACACAAACAGCACAGTCACAAACACACACACACACACACACACACACACACAAACACCCTCACATCACACTAACAGCACCCTCACACACACATCACACTAACAGCACACAGCACACTAACAGCACACACAGCAGTGTGTGTGTGTGTGTGTGGATATATCTGTCTATATATATATATATATATAGACAGATAAATATATCCACACACACACACACGCGGCGTGTGTTTGTGCTTTAGGGTGCACACCCTAATGCAATAGGCTGCGCACGCCTATGCTGGGGATATGTAGAACGTATATGTTTTATGTACTGAAGGTAACTGTAGGTAATTTTATGTCTTTTACTGTTTGTTTTCTGCCATGTGGTTAATGGAGTTTTGCCTCTGTCTTTGGAGATAATTGAATTACCAATTATCTCCAGGGCAGAGAGGAGGGATTGTGATGCATTGTGGGATGGTTGAAATGTATAAGTCTGTGATTGGTCCTTTTACCCTTTGTGTCCCAGTCTCCCATTTGGTCCCCTAGGGGAGTGTCCACCAGGTGGGAGACCTGCATAAAAGCCGGGCAGTTAGCCCCAGTAAATCAGTTCCTGCTTAACCCTCAAAGTGAAGTGTCGTCTCATTATTGGGGGGAGGATTTACTGTATGCTGTTAGAGACTGATTGCCAGGAGTGTAAGCTGCTTGGGGGCTTTTCCTGTTCGTCTGCTAGCAGCTATTCGTGTGTCTCCAGTTCGGGAGTTTGGAGTGCTACTTGGTATGCAGTTCGGGAGTTTCGAGTATTCCCTTGGTTGCAGTTCGGGAGTTGGTGAATTTGTGGGTTTGCAGTTCGGGAGATTGGTGCTTGCAGTAGCTGTCTGTGCAGCTGAAAAAGGGGAATATCGCCTAAACGGTTTTTAACCTCTTGTGGGCAAAACGGTCCGTTACAGTCTCGATTAAGGGGAAAGAGATCTGAAAATGAGAAAAGAGTACAAAGTTTAATGCGAGTTTGGGCAGTGAGAGATGCACTAAAGCTTTTGTTTTAATTCCAAAATTATGAGGGACAGCTGAGAGTTTAAATGCATTCATCATAATCTGGTTCATAGACAACATTCTGAAAAAGAAATTAAGAACATTAGATTGGAGGCTTCTGTGTGACAAGTGATTGATGGATTTCTAAAACATGCTTCTGTTCTGACCTTCATCTTCATTGACCTTGGCATGTCCCATCTCTCATTCCACATTAGATTCTGCCCACTTGAGTCTCCTCCCAAGTGCTTTACAACTTGCCCAGTAGGAAGAAGTATGAATTCCCCAATCCACCAAGTTTCCACAGGATGTTATGTGAATAGGGCTTTCCTTGCTGGTAGGATATTTAAGCACATAATTGTAGTGCAGGGAGCCAACACTTGGACCTTAAAGATCTGAGTGCTGTAGTATGTTGTATGATTGTAATTATACAGTAAGACCTTCCAAAGCTCACGGTATTGTTTTGTTTATGTCTGCATAAATAATACGTTCATTATTATATCTTTCACTAACTGTCTACAGCACTTTGTGGATTAATATGTTAAATGAAATTAAACAGATCTGACATATTGTTTTTTCCATTAATTATAGGTAAGGTTACAGAAAGAGGGGTATATCATTAAAAATACTGGTACACAGGGAGTACAGAGCCCTGTCTGTGGGATTTAATACAACATTTGTAGCACTTCTATACAAAGACATGCATTAGAGCTTACAATATAGAGACATAACTTGTATCAATACCAAGAGTAGCAGGATAGAAAATACAGATGATAAGAATGGGAGGGATATTATAGAACAACCTGCTTAAATAAGTAATTAGTAACGAGTTCCTTCAGATGGAGAATTATAGTCTATAATGTATAGCAAAATGAGAGTAGATAAGCAAAATAATGCATTATGAGAGGGAACAGACATGTGATACACCTGGGGACAAAGAAGAATGCTGACTGTTTGAAACCTTGAAACCAGTATGATGTATTTAATAAAATATATGAGGTGGGAATGAGAGCAAGGATAGGATAGCCAGGATAAGACGGTTAGACATTTAATGAGGTTCCAAGAAATTTAGACTTTCAAAGATCAATAGTATTTGGAATTCACTTCTATGTGGAGATACATATTGACCTGTGTCCTTTGTTTCCTGTGGCACTTGGTTTGAGGTCAAGGATCTAAACTTTCTGATAGCAATCTAAGAAAAATGTGAGTTTTTATGGAAGTTTACCCACCTTTCAATGGCTGCCCAATGGAACTGCGCTCCAATGTCATCTAATGCTAACTAAACAAATACTATATAGATTGTGGAGAAGCTTGGAGGCCAGCCTCCTTCCTAGAGATTATGGATCCTCTGTTATTACTGAAACTGGACACACCAGATACTATTACAAAAAAACAAGTTCTGCGCTCAAACTCCCATTACTCCTAGGCGGCAGCAACAACCATAATACACATCAGCCCAAATACATACAGTAATCCAATGGCCATGAGAGGGTATGCCCACGTCAAGGCAGACCTCTAAGGTGGATCCTAACTCTAACCATTCACCTTGCTTCCCTGAGCTTCTGGCAAAGATGTCTCTAATGAGATAGAAAGGGGTATTTTTTATATACATCCCTACATGCTTACTAACCCTTGATAGGGAACACATGGGATGGGCAGCAGAATTGTAACATAGCTGTGTGATACAAAAGTGAATACAAATACAAAGAAACTAGTCCGGCGCTCAAACTCCCATTACTCCTGGGCGGCAGCAACGACCATAGTACACATCAGCCCTAATACATGTAACAGGGTTTTGGGGGTGCCCCCTAGTGTCTTTGGGGTCCCCAAACCTAGTTAACTCACTATGCCTGACAGGCGGATCCTGAGCCTCCGCTATCTGGGAGCTGGGGTACATGTCTGCGGCAGTGCCTCCACCCAGTGGAGCATCCGGGGTAGGGATGTGGGGTCCCACTGGGAACATACTTGGTGCAATGAGACTGACACAGTCTAACTGGAACTAACTTTATATGGTAAGTAGCAATTGAACCAACATACATAGGAAAATACAATAGAGTAACACAGATAACAATGCAAATGTGGATTTTCCTCACTCACCCACCAGCACACCTGCGCCCCACCCCCTTATCTTCGCCCTAGCGGCCGTTGGTGCACATAGGAGAGTTGGGGCCCTTATAAGTCCACTGAAGCAGCCTCAGATGTGTAATGTCCGTCACGGGACCTCAGAGTCTTTACTGTGAGTGAGGAGACAGGTGCCCTGTGGTGATACAGGGAGAGGCTTGGCTTACCCTCACAACACGATTAACCAGGTCAGTCAGCAGCAGTCTCCTCTCACTGGATTCGCCAGACGTCTGGACTCAGTGCTTGTCTTCTTTTCTTTTTTCTGCAGGTCCCTCTCTCAGCTGGTGTGATCTTGGGTGAAACAAGTTCTCTCAGCCAGGTCCTATCTCTGTGCTACAGTCTCTCACATGTCCTTTCTCTGGCTCAGCATGTGGTCTCTCTTAGAATCCTCCTCCCTCAGAGCTGTGCAGGAAGTCCTGACAGGCCCTGCTATGATGCCACACTCATCTCCTGATTTCAGCAAGTCATGTGATCAAAGCTCAATGTTTTATTAACAGCATACTGAGTCCATGTGCCATCTACTGGGCATTTCAGATAATGCAGCCTGTGTAACTTCACGGGCTACATACATATAGTAAAAACCAAAGAAAAAAAAAAAGTTAACTGCCCTCAATGTAACGGAGCTCCAGTACTCCGACCGAGTATCTCCGCCAAGTCTGCTTCCTTGTAGCTATCAGGGACCTTGAAACACTTCAGACCCAAATGCCGAGGCTTGACTGGGATCACTTAGGGCCTTTTCCACCCTGGACCAAACACCAGACGACACATGGTGAAGGTTAAACAGCAACTCTTTAATGAATACAGCACACATAGTTTAAGCCCAAAATGGCCTCATTTACATACAATAGGTTACATAGATTACTATAGTACAAGGAAGGGTGGGGTCAGACAATAGCAAGGGCTGATGGGAGATTGAGGAGGGACAGAGCAGCTGGCAGTGTCCCTGGGACAGGAAAAAGGGGGGAGGGGGAGATGCACAGACCAGCAATACATTCAACATACCCTGCACAAATAATAGGCACAATGTGACAAAACACAAAAGGAATTTGGGAGCCCACCCATAGGGTCTGTCTTCCATCCCCAGTGATGATGACTACCGTCACACCCTCTTTCCCAAATCCCTATGTATATTTAAACAAATGGAGGTTTTTAGTTACCTCCAATGGCCATGAGAGGGTATGCCCACCTGCCACATCAAGGCAGACCACTTAGGTGGGTCCTAACTCTACAAGCTAGAGTTAGGACCCACCTAAGAGGTCTGCCTTGACGTGGCAGGTGGGCATATCCTCTCATGGCCATTTGGTAAATTCAAGCTTGTCTCCCTAGAAAAGGGGTAAAAATATGTCTGATGGTGCTTCAACTTGTAGCTGTAGGTTATGGAAAAACCGGAAAGCCAATATTGCAGTTTATATATGGCTCCTAATTGCAGACCTTTGATCAGCTGGCAGTCGAGTGCGTTCCACCATGGAGCGAAGTGTTAATTTCCTCTAGACTGATGTCATTTCCGGGTTTCGGCTATATTTGTCTCATGTACGTAACGAAACTTGCGCATGCACACGTGCGAATCAGATCTGAACAACCTGGATATAAACAGACATGCGTGAAATACAATCTATGTAAACCCACAATCACCCATCCATTATGTATTCCGGTTTACTTGACAGATATGTACAGACTGTGGACGGATTGTCAACAGGCATCTAACTCATGAAGGCTATGTATATGAATGGAAAAATAAATAAAAATATACATAAAAAATAAACATAAAACAATATATATATATAAAATGTATATAAAAAATATATATATATAAAAATATTGAATATCCCTGAA